GAACCTTTTGTGGGCTGATTTGATTGTCATTGGGGTTTTGATTTCTGTCATCTTTTTTTCGATGGGTATCTAAATTACATGTTTTCTGTTAGTGGGGTGTGGTTCTAATGATTAATGCATGTAGAAAAGACTGTTCTTTTTATGAATAGATTGCGTCTGGAGTGTTCTCATGTTTTTCTTTTTTCTTTCTTTTTTTTTTCATTTTTTTGTATTCTTCTTATTGCATGTGAAGTTGCGTTATCTTGCTCTCAATTTTCGACCAGTATATAGATTGCGTCTGGAGTGTCTCAATGATTAGATTGGAAAAAAATCCCGTGGATCTGTATTTTTTTGAAATTAGGACTGTAGAGACATGTAAGATGGTGGATCTTAATTTTGGTGTTACCACCAGTTGGATAGAGAGCGTCTACAATACTGCCAGTTGATGCATAGATCCCAGTTCGCGTGTTTGCTGAATTAAGGCATTTGGTTTTCGATATAACATGTAATACTGTGAAAATATCAATGGGAACTACACAGCATAATAAAACACGGTCACTTGACGTTCTACTAAGTACTAATGAGACAGAATACTTCTCAGCTGCTATCAAACTGGAAACCCAAGTAAATGATGAAACTTGGCTTTCTAAACTTTTAGAGTGCAACTGCAAACTGCTATCTATAAGCTCTTTAGTATTAGTTGTTGTAAACAGCAAAATCTTGGGCGTTTCTTTTGGTATCTTAGTCCTGGTAGCTTTACACATATCCTAGTATATGTTTAACTCTACTCAGAAGTACTTGAAGTATATCTTGAGTTGTGTCTCCCTCTTTCAAAAAACTGATGTACCATTGAGAAAACCAATTGAAATACTCCAATTTTTATTTTATTTTATTTTTGTTGGCAATCAGGTGAACGGGCTTTCTTCCAGTTTTCTTGGAGAGCTTGATCTTAAAGAACTTGAGAATTTGAGTCTGTTACCAGTTTATCGTTATAATTTTTAACAGTTATAATGGGATGCAGTAGTTGCATTATTTATTTATCGCTGAAAGTATAGGTTTTTTGTGAACAAGTTTATGGTGCTAAGACTTTTTGGGCCGGGTTACAGGGTAGAAAAGTAAAAGCTTCTTTTAAGGTAAACCTTATGGATGGCCGTTGCAGAGTTTAAGAATGATTTCATTATTTCTTCTCTATTTTGTCACCTACAAAAACTTAAAGATTGTCCGAGCATGTCGTGTTCTTATTTGTTAGAATCAAGGCATGGATTTTAAACTGACGCTCTATGCTTCCTTTGAATGGTTGGAAAGAAATATGTTTTTGCTTTACGGACATGGAGAGTTTTGACTTTGTTCTGTTGGATTAATCATTTTGTTTTTATGTGCTTACCATGTTCACATATGGTTAATTATTCTAATTCTCGTGTTTTGATTTCCTGGTTCTTAAATTACATTTTAATATTATGTTGTTTCAGTATCTCATCACCCATTTTAGTGACTTCCAACTGGCTTCTCTTGGAAGTTTCTTTCTTCATGAAAGTATCTTCTTCTTTTCGGGACTTCCATTCATATATTTGGAAAGGGCAGGATGGCTGAGCAAGTACAAAATCCAGGTTCACCCTATTGACTTCATTGCTACATTGTTTTCCTTTGAGTTGATTGGTCTTCTATAATGTTCACTGAGTTTATGTTTAGATATTCCCATTGTCCTGTGAAGTAAGTGTAACAATAAGATGACCAGAAATGGAGAAATATTACTTCTTTTTGTAAGTTGGGTGTAGGTCTGTGCTGCTATTACCTTATTATATTATCCAATATCCAGATTTTTAATAGCTAACCATTTGTGCAAAGAAAAACTCGATCCGAAACACAAATTTGTGGGACTTTGCAAAAATTACCAGAAGAGGAATTTGCTAAATATCCTCTCCTGTTAGTTAATGACCTTTTTAGATAGCAGTTTGGTTTTCCTGTGAAACTTGTTACTGCTTTTGCAGTTCTTGCACTAAAGAACTCACTCTTTAGGAAACATCTGAAGGCAATTTTTTTTTTTTTTTGCTGCTCTCTCTATCTTAGTGCACAACCTAAGGTGATAGTTGTTGTTTTCTGGTTGGTGCAGAACAAAAATAATACTCCTGCTGCTCAAGAGAAATGCATCACTCGACTATTGCTGTATCACTTTTGTGTCAATCTACCTGTCATGATTCTGTCTTATCCTGTCTTTAGAGCTATGGGCATGCGAAGCACTCTACCATTGCCGTCCTGGTATATACAGGTTCTTTATATGATAGCTTGAGTTTCCAGATTAATATCGTTTAGCATCTGAGAACTTGGAAGCTTGCAATGTAACGTAGTTTGTGTTAGACATTTTGTGAAAATACATTTTTGAGTCCTGCTTTTGGATTTCCCTTTCCTGAAAGGTCTATAATTTATTTTCTTGTAACCAAATAGGTTTTTTCCTTTGGTCATCTGTTTTCATAAAATACGGGGTGTTTCATTCCTTACAAACATACCCAGTATATTCCCCCAACTGGTTGGGTTCTGTGGGTCAGTTGTACGCAGACCTTACCCTTGTAATTATACAAGGAGGCTGTTTCCGTGGTGCATTACGTCGTTTGATATATTTTTTTTTTCTAGAAACTTCACTAATATAAGAAGCACTAGAATTTAATTGAGCCATTTTGATCTAGTCCATTATTTATTAGCACTATGCCAGGAGAATTGTCAACAATGACTCTTCCAGCTCCATTTGCAATGGACAAAGGGGTGTTTCATTCCTTATGATAAACATATTACTACTAAAATTAGGTCATCTCATAATGCTCAATTGCCATCTTACTTAGCATTATAAAGGTGTCAATTAAGTGATCAGTCATTATGGATTCAGTATGTACTTTGGCTGTCGTGTGAACACTTCTCACACCAAACTTCAAACCCAGCGGGAAGCTGTTGATAAAAGAAGACAAAACAAAACGTTGATCATTGTTGTTCCAATCTCCTTTTGCTCATTGTCCCTTAAATTGCAGTAGAATAATATTTTCTTTTGTTTTGTGGAATTACATTTAGAGACTTGGTTCATGCAGGAAGGTAATTTCAACTCAAATTTTATTCTACTTCATCCTGGAGGACTTCATCTTCTACTGGGGCCACAGGATATTACATACAAAATGGCTTTATAAGCATGTACACAGTGTCCACCATGAGTAAGTAATATTCAGCATTCGGCTCTTCAAATTTTCTTTGCTACAAGGAATAGTGCACTCTTTTCCTTCTATCTTTTTTACTAATATGCTTGAACTCTACAGATATGCAACACCATTTGGATTGACCTCTGAATATGCTCACCCTGCTGAGATTCTGTTTCTCGGTTTTGCTACAATAGTCGGTCCTGCAATCACTGGTCCCCATCTGATAACATTATGGCTGTGGATGGTTCTTAGAGTCCTTGAAACAGTCGAGGCACATTGCGGATACCATTTCCCATGGAGTCTCTCGAATTTCTTGCCTTTATATGGGGGGTTTGTACTCTGCATCTTATTCTAAGTTTCCACTTTTCTAAGCCAACTTTATGTATGCAATTTCTTTGTGTTTTCTCAGTGCTGATTTTCACGACTATCATCACCGACTGCTGTACACAAAGAGTGGGAACTATTCGTCTACTTTTGTTTACATGGACTGGTAAGGATTGTTTATGCACTTTTTCGGCAAATTGTGGTCTATGGATGAATCATATGACATGTAATAGTATTTTGTTATGATAAGCTATATATTGTGCATTAAGTAGAAGAAAAAAATGAATGATGAAAACCTTGCATGGTATAAGTAACTAATAACTAATAATCCATGCACTGGACGAACAATTATTAAATCAGCACGTGTTTGTACTGGTGGTGCGGCCAGGGAGAATCACTTGGCATTTTTTCTTCTTTTTTCATAAAAAACACTTCATTGAGTAAGGATGGATTAAGAAGGCATTCTTGAAGATCACAGCAGAATAAAGAGTTGTGTACTGCATTTGGGCTGAAATAAGTTACTTTGAATACGAATCTATTTTTTTTCCCCTAGACGGTGACTTGTGTAGATTCTAACTTCTTTGTACCATTTCAGGATATTTGGTACTGATAAGGGTTATAGAAAACTTAAGGAGCTGAAGAATGGAGATGTGACTACAGTTAAGGAAATGTAAGCGAGGATGTGGCCAACAGGTTTGTGGTATTGGAGCATCGTTTTTAACCGGTCGAATTTGGTTCTTACACAACTTGCATTTTTGTGTCCGATTGCTGTTATAGATAAACATCTTGTCACGTGGAGTCAAATTGCAGCTTGTCATGATGTGTCCTTCACCAGTAGCCCACATCCATTTCATTTTTCCTTTTTTTTTTTTTTTT